CCTCCTTTCAGCAGGACTATCCAGGGAGAATTGGCCTCCCCAGAAAAAGGTCAAGAGTCTAGACAACTGCTATTTTTAATGAAGGCTACCAATTTACTGATGCTCCAGCAAAAGAACCGTATGATAAGGCTATGCACTGACTTGAAGAATCTTGAGCACGATGCTGTAAGAGCTTTTTAAACATTATTTTGGTATAATTAGTAGCTAAATGACCATAAAAATATGAATTTTAAAAATATTTCTATTGCAGTAATTTAAGCCCTATGATTTTATAGTCTTCTTGCAAAAATTTTCTCTATTCATTTGGGTTTTGTTCAAATAAACTGTAAAAATAAAGGTTGGGGCTTGACTGTTAATTTATCTTTTTGTTACCACTGAGACTTTTAACATTTTCTTGATAATCTTGTTATTGTATTTATAGATTTTAATCTCTCTTAGTTACAGTGAATTTTGTAAAATCTAATTCCTACTGTCCACAGAAAATGAGTGCTATGTTAAAGAAGCCTTTTGATCACTTAAAAAGAATTACATGGCATAAGTTTTTGTTTGTTAGACAGAGTTTGACATGCAAAAAATCAACAGAGTTTACTTTTACCTGCACCAAGGTTAGTTGGTAGGAAAGCAGCCAAACCCACAATTTTAAATTTCGTTCCCCAGATATTAGACGTGACCTGAGCAAGGTAGTTGTGCTGCAAAGCAAAATCAAGATCATTTGCACCTAATAAAATCTGAATCAAGCTCTAATAAAAACCCACGGAGCAATGAAGCCATTGCAAGTGATAATACAATTTCAGCTTCTCTTGGTTTTATTTTATTGAAACAGCCTAAAATGCCTGTGTAGCAACTGTTATACTCAGTCATTATGAGGTCTCATTTTGGTATCTGAATACCACCAGAAATGATGCATACAACAGCCACATAGGCTGATTAAAGCTGTTGAAGAATTGAACAACATGCTTACTGAGAACAGGTCTGTTTTCAGATGCTTGCTTCTCCTGCACAAGAGCGTGGCTATTCTGTATTTCAGAAAGTAATACATCCTGCCCTTTGGTTCTATGCTTACAGATCACTTTATAGAACAATGAATAAGACAGAAATTAATTACTCATAACAATAAATGTTTTTCCTGGAGCTTCCAAAGTAGCTTCCCAAAACACTGCTTCCATGGTGATCAAATTATGGGGCTGAAAGACCAAGAGATTTTCTCAAAGGCCAAGAGTTACGTTAGTATCAGGAGCAGGATCTAAGCCTCTGGTCTCCTGCTCTATCCAACGGACTTTTGGTCCTATCTACTGCTGCTATGTAACTCATCCAGAATTCTTCACTATAAAGGAAAACGTGAAATGACAGAGCAGAAAAAAACAACAAAACAAAACAAAACAAAATTAAGAGAACGCAGGCTGGAATTAATAAAATACGTAAACCAGACAGCTCTACAGACAGCTAAGTTTCATTTATCCACAGGACATGAACACCACAAAGAGCAGAAAGTGCTAATTCCTTGCCTGCCTTCCAATTAAGGCTGTTCCATGTTAATTATGAAAGAGAGAACATGTGGCCCTCTGAAGCAAGGATTTCCTTAACTCTGCAATTCCTAGCAAAGCAGAGAAATATGGTGGTATTAAGATAGCTCTGAGAAACTGATGAAGCATTTTCACCTACACTTTCAAACAGCCAACAACATCACCTCTCATACGGATTCACATTGATAGAACTCAGTGGTGTCAGGATTTATCAAACAATGTCTGACATTCCATTGACACTTTTGAACAGTAACACTGAACTGGAAGATGCAATTCTCTAGTTGTTCCATCTAGTTACTGCAACTAAATTAAAAATTTTTATTGGTGATCACAACTTGATGCCTCTGGAAGGAGATGTATTTGGACTCAGGTCTGCTAACAACATGCACAATACCTGAGTAATATCTTCTAAAGGGAACTCTCTTCGGGTTAGGCTTGGTGAACCAATAGAAGGTTTCCTTATTGGTAACCTCGGCGATCTTGATATCTCCTGTGCAGCTCGTGACATCTTCGGAGATTTCCGAGCTTCTATATTGATTCTGCATATAAAGCAATAAATAGAATCGTCAACAGCCATGCAAAAATGCACAAAATTAATGTCTTCAAATGTAAAGACGAAATGAAGACAACTGGTATGGTGTCCTCTAAGTGACTACTGAACACTGTCGAGTCTACAGGATGGAGAGTTACGGGTCCAATTTAAAGATACATTAGGCCTGACACACTTGCAGTAACTCTGACAGGATGTTTTCTGATTCATTTAACAAAGCATATAGTAGCTCTGCCAGATGCAATATATCTCCACTAATCCACAAAAAAGGTGTAGGGCTGAACTATTTCAGCTACACAGACTTCTAGCAAAGCCTCAAGAAATGGAAACGTGACACCTCAGCTGGCAGATCTCCACACCAGTACAGCAAACTAAGGTTCCACAAACTTCCATCAGTGATCTTACTCTAAGCCAAAAATTATTGCTACCTCCCATTATACAAAGGGGTCATGGATAAGAGGACCTGACAAAGCTCACTGGTAGAAAAAATAGTGAACAAAAGTTACATTTCAAAAGTATGCTCTCAGAAAATCAAGGAGGCAAGATAGTTGTTTCTCCTGAGCCATTTCAGTTTTAGGCTCAGGAACCAATGGTTCTTTTGTCAAGTACTACTAAAATGAAACTTCGGTATTTCACACATTATGTTCACATATAAAGGGATGCATCTGCTTTGCCTCGTACTAGGACAAGCTCTCAATATAAGGTCTTTGAAAAAGTGTTGGCTGCAGCTAGATGGCAACAGGGCCTCAGTCCCTTAACATGAAGCTCTCAGATACATGTCAGTGCCTATGAGAAGGCACTGACATCAGTGTGGCTCTGTGCATCACAGACATTGGTGTGGCTCTGTGCAGGTGGAGGGTTCTGTCTATGTGCATACTGAATACAATGATGAGCTGGCAGGAAAGCAACCAGACATATGTCTTAGAAGTGCATTTTGCATATCGTTACAGAAGCTCGTCAACCCAGTGTTTAGGAAGATCTCTTTGTTGAGGGTCCCTTGCAAGGTCACCACAGCAGCAGTGCCGCCTGTACCAGGTTCTATACCACCTATGCATGGACTTAGGAATTTGAAAATACCCCAGAGGAAATAAAGGCTTCAACTCAACCAGGGACCCTGAGCACAGAGGAGGTAAAAACACAGATTGTTTGAAGGACAAAATATATCCTATGGTGGCAAAAGTTTACATGTGGCAGATGCCGTGGTAGGAGAGTTTATAAAATCTTTCTTCGAGACTGCCTGGGGAGAAGTGGTGCCCTATTGTTTCCCATTATCTTTTGCCCCACAGCCTTCCCCAAAGACCACCTCAACATCAATCTCTGAGATCACCCCAGCATTGCACGTTGTAGAGGACCCCACTCCTCCAGAAGATTCTTACCTTCCTAAAGGAGTTTGCTTTTAATTTTATGAGGTGTCAAAACAGTGTTTACAAAAAGAGGAGAGGAGAGGAGAGG